TCAAAAGGTTTGCTTTTCCCGAGGCTGGTCTGACACATTTGACCAGAAGTTACAGCCCCTGCTGGATGAGATGGTATTTGATGCTGCCACAGTGAGTGCATTCCATTACATATGTATAGAGCAGGGGTTTCTGAACAGACACCCTGGTCTGGACACTCAAATAATATGAAATCAAAATTCAATTTTTCAAAAGAGTGGGGATTAATTAAATTAAAGTTGTTGAAGTCTCAGTTATTGTTTTCAAACAATATTTTCACAATTTTAGAATTTAGTCGTGGCCCAGATTAAATGGTTTGGTGGGCCAGATTCGGGCTGCGGACCTCCAGTTGATAATCACAGGTGTAGACCATGTTTTAGAGCAATGCTGATGAGAAGTAAAGGTGGACTCTGTCATTGTGCTCATATGCATGAAAACAGTAGGTCCACACACATGCACCTCGCAGACGTCTGTTATTCCCATTTGAGGCTGAGGAAATGGAAATGCCATCACGACCTTATAGGCGCCTTGCTGTGTGTGTAGGCTTGTGTGTGGGCACACATCTGCTGCCGTTACTACGTTTTCACAGGTAGCAAAGTGAGGGGTGGGGGGTGCGGGGATGTTGGAAACGAAAGAAAGTTGACAGACGAGGAAACTGATATTCTTGAGTTGTGTTTGTGTACTGCCACCGGATCATCCACTGCCAACCATCCATCACACACACAGTTTCTAATAGACTCGGGTTTGACCATTTATTACAACTAGGATGCTGACAGTCGGCTCTGTGTTGACAGCACTGGAGGAAACGGGACGTTGAGCCGGGCTTTTAGGATGGATGAACAAGCTATTAGCCTCGCCGTAGCTACTGTTTGTTCTGCTGCGGACGGCAGCTTCCAACCGTGTGTGTGTGTTTTAAAAAAAGATGGCAGGAGTATAAAAGTACATCCAAGTGTGTAAGAGAATCTGGACAGGAACCCACCACCATCATTTACTTAAAACAAATCCTGAATATTAAAGAGTGTCTTACCCTCTCGTTGTGGTTGGACTGTTTAAGTCCATTGTAGTGGTAGACGGGAAATGAGTCTGGGATTCCTGAATCCTGTAACACATGCGGCACGCGGTGTGAGAAACATGCAGCATGTATGAAGTCTTCACACAGGGTTAGGGTTAAATACCCTGAGAGGCAGGAGACAGCTTAACCACAAACACAAAAACCCCAGATAACTCTGCCTGCAATTAAAGCTGAATGCTGTGTGTTAGGATTAAAGTGGAGCTCAACTCCAATTACAATGAACTGGCCAACAATATATAAATGTCCAAACAGTGACATTGAGCCAAAACACTTCTCATGTTTTTGGCTGGAAGGTGCAGAATGCTAATAGGGTGTGTTATCTGTGTGTGTGTGTGTGTGTGTTCTGGTTCTCATGTTTATATACCTATATGTATGAAACCCTAAACCTCAGCCCAATCCCACGTGTGTCTGAGTGTGTGTCCAGTTGGCTAATGGCAGTATAATTTCTTTGCGGCTCGGGGGCCGTTCCACTGGTCGGTCCCTAAAGCCCTGATCACTTTAACACAGTTCTCCTCTATTTCTCCTGCCCCGTCTTCCTCGCGCTCCCTCCACCTCATAAAGGCATATCATTACTTCCCTTTTAATGTCTCAGAATGTGAGGTCATATGATGCTGAGCACACACGCAAATAATTCACATGAGACAAAGCAAGGATGTTTTCAGAAAAAAAAAGAAAAGACTATCATTAGCTTAAAAATGCTAGCAACCGATGGATTTTCTAATTGAAGGACTGAACTGCACCACATACCTGGTTAGGGAAGAACTCCAGCAGGAACGGGCCCAGTAGAATGATGCCTAAATTCTCAGGATCCAGTTTGCTCTTGACTATACTGACACTGGGAACACACACACACACACATACACAGGAATTTAATTTGTTATAAGGGAAAAAAGACAATAAACCTGAAGAGACAAATGAAACAGTAGCTTTCATAACAGTGAAGACTTGTTTGAGGGTGAGCGCATATTTTACTGAATATCATCGTGCAACTAAATGTAACTCTCTGTTCCAGACATTCCTACTTCTTAGATCAGTGTTATTATTATTCCACTGTGGTAGAAAAAAAAAGAAATCTGGTCAGATTGACCTTTTAAGGCAGTGAAAGGAGAGGTAGGAGTCGTGCCCAGATTCAGAGGGAAGGCAGAGGCTGTAATTTTATCTGTGAATTGTTACATGCCGCACATACGAGCGGCGCTGCCGGCAGGGCTGAGGGCGAGGTCCAAAGAGTCACATGTGTGTTGAAGCTCCTTTCTGCTCTGCGTGTAGGACAGTAGGAAGCAGGAGATCCCCGCAGTGATCAATAACATCACTTATTATTGTGAACAAGTGTTTGTGTGTTCTAGGATCTGAGGAGTTTGGCGTTGGTTCTGTAACCGCTGCAGGACGCAAATGACCTCATGTTATAAAAATGGACCAGACAAACGCCGACACTGAGTTTGCCAAGTTTCTCTATAACAAAACCGGCTACAATTAGATGTTAATTAATGCTGAAAAACTGACGTTTTTAGAGCTGTCAAAATCAGTTCCCTCATGGCATTATTACATTGTCAACCCCCTTCAGGTTAAAGAGAGAGTAAACACCTGAAGTGTCACCTGTTCTACATTGAGAAACAATTTTCAACAGGAATGTTCTACTGTCTTAAAAGCTTTGCGATTGGAGCACACTCCTGGATTGCAGAGAGCATATTCAGTAACTATTATAACTGGTCACTGGGGGGCATCGCTCCGTGTAGTCACATGAACACTCTCTCCTTTTTGCCCTCACTGCCATCACTGTTCTATCTGACCTTCATCAACAAACAAACAGCGTGGAGCTCGTCATTAATTACTGGTCCTATTTATTCGACTCGATTTCCTGATGGTGCGTCTGCAGTGGCAGCGAGCCGTCTGACTTTAAGATGCTTGTTTATTTCACGTGCTGGAAGTCTGTTCTGCTCAGGTCAGGATTCTAACTCCTGTGTTTTGCACTTGTCTCGTCCAACGTTGCTGTGCTGCACTGTAGTGTTGATGCATCAGCCATCTGGGGGTCTGCAGAGCAGATCAGCGGTCCGGCGACTTGGCTGCAGAGTTAGGACTCACTGTTCCTCAAATGAGAACGTGCTTCTGTTTAAAGCGACACTTTAAAGCATTTCCTCCCTGGCTACGTCTTTTCTTCCGGCTGTTAATGACCTTCAAACTTCAGCTTCTGACTCTCCGTCAGTCTTTCCTTTTTTTCCAGGGCTTTCATCGTGGGCTCTTTCTGCTCCAACTTTATAGAAGCCTGGTAGTGAAACATGAGTAAAGGCTGGCTGACCCCGCCTGGCCGTGACTTAGGAGCTACAACTTTAGAGGAGCTACAGGTGTCAACCCCCTTCACCCCCCCTGGCCCCCCACTGCACACACACACGCATAGCAACACACACTAATGATGGAAAACACACAAACACAACCTTGAACGTGCAGCACTTACTATTCAGGCTCGGACACAAGGTCGAGGGCTTTCATCACGTCCTCCAGCAGAGACTCGGGGATGAAGCCATTATCTACACACAACAAGAGGAACACACACACAGACACACACACACACACACACACAGAGGCAGAGAGATAAATCAGAGGAGCCTTGACCTACACTTACATGGTGCAAGCACCGCTTACATCACAATCTCAGAGGGAATGCACACATTTGACACACATCATAAACCCCCCCCCAAAACCAAATATTGCGTGTATGGACACTCACACACACACACTCACGCACGCACACAAACACACACAGTTTGTCTATTTCCTCTGACCTACATTCCACGCCTGTGATGGTGATGACTTTACCTGAGGAGAAGCTCGAAACATTAACATGTGTTCTTGCCCAAAACTCTGTTTGTTGGTGAGTGTGTGTGTGTGTGTGTGTAAGGGCATTGGCAGCGTGTGTGTCTGTGTGGCCTGTTGTTTAGATACATACAAAGACCCCAAATCTGTTTTGATCATGTTGGAGTGACATGCACTCTGCCCCCCCACTCACTCACTAGCGACTTATTTGGGTGCACACACACGGACATGTTGTTTTCTCTGCCACAGTGTGACAGGCGACACACACACACACGCACACACACGGACAATGACAAACGCACACATTTTAAAGAGCGTGCTGAGATAGTGGCTTTCTGAGTGTGTGTCTTGTGAGTCACTCCAGTGCGTGTGAATGCGTCTGGCGCCCTCATTCCACAACACAGGGAGCAGTGCTGACTCTTCATGTGACACACAGAGATTTACAGGCCTTCTGCTCCGCACTCCGGTGCTGCTGGCGATGGCGTATGTGCACAAACGACAGCCAGTGAATGCATCTTTGTGTACAGTAAAGTCGTCTCCTCTGAGCAGACCGGCGCTCAGACTACAGCACGCATTTTTGTTTGTGCGTTGGCACATTCTGTGCCACAGGAAGAAACAGATAAAACACACAACCCGGTGAGTGGGGGGTGACAGACAGTTGTGTTTACAGAATTGTTGTCGAGAACAGAGCGGCAGCAACGTCCCAGAGATACAAAACAAAAGATCTCGACAAATCAGGATTTCGCATCTACGAGTGAATAATTTTGTTTATGGCAACAAATTATAGCACACAGTGAAAACACATGAGTGTGGATGTTTGAGTAATGACTGCTGAGATTACTCGTGTCCTTGGTTGGATGCTCGAGTAACATGCTTGGCTCTTTGGTGTGTCTTGTTAACATGATCTCGTCTGGAGATGAAGTCTCCTCATCTCCTCCTCTTTGCCAACTCCAAAGAAGAAGAAAAATATAAAACGCAACAGATGTCGGGGTTAAATGTTTCATTTCACTGCTCCTATTTGTCTCTGAATACGCACCGAGGCATAAACACCCCGCAGTATGAACCTGAGGGTACCGTTTCAATGCTTGTAAAGAAGGTAGCTACAGTATCTTTTATTAATCTTTTTGCCAGGTTTTTTTTTCCTGTACCGTCTTAATGCCTTTTACCCCAGATAACTGTAAGAGTAAACTAACAGGGGTGGAGGCTGCAGGAGGGTTGACTCAGCTGTGTGACACTCTGATCTCACCGAGTTAAAAACAACAGCAGAGAAGAAAGGGTCTTGAGATGAGAAAGAAGCCGAACAGAGAATGTTAGAGATTCCTCTGGTGAAACCAGGAAGAATGGAGTTGGTCTTTTGAATTTAGGCTCAGGGCAGTGTGTGAGTGAATGTTAAGATAAATAAAATGCATCTGTTTGCCAGCATTTTCATATAGTTGCAAGACTAATGAGCCAATAAAGTGCAGAGGTCATTATAATAGTCTATAAAAGGAGTGTGTAGGGGGTAAAAGGCCGGAGATGAGACTGAATTCTCAAAATATTTTATGACAAACGTATTTCGTTACCTTCAGGGTCGTACGACTGGAAGACTCTCCGTGCCTGCTCTGATGGAGACTCTGGACCCACCAGGGACATCTCCTGCAGCAGAATCATGGAATAAAGAGAGAAAGACACATTATAAATCTAAAGGCTGTTTTAACAGTGTTTAAACATGAGTGAAGTTTTGTTTTATTTACAAATCACAAGTTTTGACTCTTCTCGTCGGCAGAATTAGCAGGAAGCACTTACATCATTCATTACTGCTGTGGCTGTGTGGGGTGTTTGAAATGTAATGCATACATGTTGATGTGTATTTCTAACTGTGTGTTATCCAAGGGGCCACAGCCCATAGGGTTATTAACTGATGTGCTGATAAAGTCAGACGGCTTTCGCTGCAGACGCACCATCAGGAAATCGAGTCGAACAAATACGGCCTGTGATTAATGACGAGCTCCACAGTGTTTGTTTGTTGATGAAAGTCAGATAGAACAGTGTTAGCAGCCAGTGCAAAAAGGAGGACGTGTTCATGTGAATTCACAGAGCAATGCCCCCTTGTGACCGGTCATAACATTTGCTGTACATGGAACGGAGGGATCTACATTGTAATTGCTAGAGAAGAAACTCCATGAATATTCGCATAAAAAATCACTACAGTGCTGTAGAAAATCGTGAAACTAAATTTTGCAATATTTCAGCGTATCGATATTTTTTACACCACTACTTCAAGACTTCCATGTAACATAACGATGGGATCACAGGAGGTTTTTTCTGACAACACCTTCAAATAGATACGTTTTTATCATGAACATATGGATTGAGATCATTTAGCAAACATAAAGGTGTACTTTGTAAGAACCGAGTTCCACCAATGTTTCACCAGTGTGAACTCACACACTACTCCTGGCGGTGTGAAGGCGAGCACCAGGAGGTTCTCACTACTTCTTCTTTTGAGCGATGGAGGGATCGTGTTCATGACAATAAAACGCTGTAAAAACACTCAGTGTTGTTGGAGAGCTAATGAACCCTGCTCATCTTTAGCTGGCCTTTATTAAAGTCTGAGCCTCAGACTCACACAGGCTGCTTGGGTTTCACAGTTCACTTATTACTGTACTTAGGGCTCAGTCTGTGAGAGAAGGGTTCGGGGAGCGGGGGGGCATCGTGAAGAGATGACTCCCAGCTGCTGGCTCTTCAGATGCAAAGACAAACAGTCAGATACGGGCAAACACCCCGTTCTGTCACACTGAGAACAGCAGGGCTCTGATGTGTTAGCATTACAGGCTTCATAAATCAGACAGTACATTTGTCATTACTGCGGTGCGGCCTTGGGGTCTCTTTACCGATTGTGGAGGTGCTAAAAATTTTTCCAGGGTGGTTGATTACACGTCTGCGGACACACTGACATTATGTGGGATTAACAGTGACGTATCTTAGCACACGCATCAGTTTGATGAACTGCCGCTTTGCTTTTCACCTAAACCCTGAGGCATACTTTATCTGGAAGTGATGAAAAGTTGAAGCAGCCTCGCACAAAAGGTCAGATTATGTTATCTTTTAGAGCGGCAAAGACAAAGTATACGTTCGGACTTAAAAACAATCAATCTATACACTTAGACGGCAGCAAACCGTATTATTAAGGCAGGAGCGAGCGTTGTGATGTGGTTAATGAGCAGATAGAAAAGAATAGAAAAGACCACTTTACCTAAACATCCCCACAAACCCTGTAATGGCAACAGACATGAGCTGACTGTGTTGTGTGTGTGTGTGTGTGTGTGTGATGACAGGTTGGGTTTGACTCTTTGATCTCTGTTTTATTAGAGGCCTGTGGAGGATGCAGCCAAGTTGGAAAACATGCCATGAAGCTAACAAACTCCACGGGGAAGCTGTGTTTAAGTGTAGAAGTCTCTGTGTTTCCTTCCTCGTGTTGAAGAATATCTCTGTGAACATGCATTCTTTTAAGTGGGTGTTTTCCACTGGATTTTACATATATCCCTAATGTGTGCACTACAGTGCCCCCCTTCCCCCCCCCGACTCCCCCACCACAGTCTTATTCACTCAACTGAAGAACGACACAGAGCTACAAATGCTGGGACGTTTCCTGTAAGTGAAACGTTTGAATGAAACGAAACGTGCAGTGACAGAACGGCGTTCCCTAACGGCTGAATGAGAGAATGTATGTGTTCTCTGAGCCGACAGACCTGCACAGACAGCTACTGGGTTGTCAGTAACCACATGGTTCATGTACTAACTTTACAGCTTAGTATTTCATGAGTGATCATCGCTGCCTCTGTAACGACAATGTAGGTTCTAATACTCAACTCTTTCCAATCTGAAAAATGGTCATGGTATTTGGTTCACATCAGGTGGACTACTGTACCTAACACTGATTCCATTCAGCCTTCTCTCTTCCAGTGGGGCACATGCTTTAATTTCCCATCTCCTTCCTGAAGCAGTGAGTGGCTCTCGGTTGGGGAAGCAGACTCTGTAAGAATTTTACATCTTTTGTTTCTTCCCTTGTTCCTTCACATTCTTTTTTTATTCAAAACTTCTAGAGAACTTCCTTCACTACCCCCTTGACTTTTTCTTCCGCTCTTATTTCTTCTTTCTTTCCTTTGTAAAAAGCCACTTCAGAGAAAACAGGCAGCCACGGTACTTAACTCCCATTTCTATTCCTTTGGTTTCTATAAAGAGCCATTGTGTGCGCCGGGAGTCTCTTAGTAGCTAAAGAGTCCACCTGAAGGGATCGGTTTCAACATGACAAAGCAAAGGTCTCAGACAGTGCCTCCTGAATTGTTCCAGGTTGGTTCTAACAAATTTGCGACACGACAGGGAGATGAGGAAAAGTGAGACGGCAGAAGTGTATGAGAGCGCAATTCTTCTCCAACAAGCTCACATCCCATGAGACTACAGGCACAGAAAGCAAAGGACAAACCTATGCACAAATATCGGGCATTTTCACTTTGACTTCAGTCTGTCTGTCTGTTCTAGCGAAGACAGATGCGACAAAGTCGTGACATATGGTTCAAGTCTTGGACGATTAAAAACTATGTCTCACCAGAAATGTGAGAAGACAGAGGAGGACAGTTCTGTAGTGTAATGATATGTCCTAACACAGACTGCAGCACTCTGGGGAAAAAGGAAGAATAATGCAGCGCACACACTGACACAAAGTGCCTTTCACCCTGTCATAATGGCCTTTGGTCTGACCTGTCACAGATTATTAATGACTGTTAATGTACACTTCTCTGCTGCTTTGTGTTTGTGTGTGACCTACGCCCTTTTGGCATAAAGAGGTGATGGGAGCAAAAAACAAAACAAAAACATTCTGTTTACCAGGACATGCAGTCATAAAGTTCATGTTTGTTTTATCAACATTCATATCAACATCAACATTACTCCTGATTAATAGTGATTGCGATTAATCAAGATCAGCCAAGATAAATTCATCATCTGTCAAATGTGTTAAAAATTCTAATCTGATTACTTTCACTAATTAATGTAATTTTCACATTTATTGAACAGCCCTAATTATTATTCATTTTGTTTGGTGAATCAAATCGAAACTGTTCAACAATGAAGTTTCAGATTTAAAGCTTGCTTTAACAAAATAATGTCTGTTGCCAGAATCTGTGGGATGTGGATCAAAAATACTGCTTATACTGCAAGTACTGTGTACTGCTTTGGCCACCTGAGTCTAACTTTACTGTGACCTGAGATACATTTGTTAAAAAGCTGCTGCTTGAGTAAATCACCGGCCGAGCACGACTACAGTACGCACGCGCACAGAAACGGGCAACTCCTGGGAGAAGCACAGAGACGGGCTGTGAACCTCATCACTCAGCAAGACCAGACTGGGGAGGGAAAAGAAACGTCACAGGAGAATTGCCCCCACCATCTTTCCTGAGTGACCACTGCCCAACTCCTTAAAGTGCATCCTTCCTTTTTACCTTCTTTCTTCCTCTTTCCTTCCCATCAGGGACCAATGATCTGAAGAGGTTTGTGGAGAGAATCCTCTTTTCAACAACTGATCTACAGTACCGGCGTTAACAGATACTTCAAAGGCAAATGGGGGAGACAGGGGAGGACCTTTTTTTTAAATATTGCATGATATGTTGCATAAATCAACAAAACCTCTGACACTTGTTCTGTCTTTTTTAGTCTGCCGTCTCAGAAACATTTGTCCAAAAACAGATCCCATTATGTGTCACTACAAGAAGCATAAATAGAACAGGGGGGAGTGAGGGGGAGAGAGACACAGTGTTTCTGTGTGAGACAGCATGTGGGGCGGGGGAGTTGTGGGTAAAGATCACAGGTGGTGCAAAGGCCATTGTGTAGGTAGATTAGATAAAAACACTAATGCTATCAGGCTGATGGTTTAAAAGCTGACGGCGACACAGGAGAATACACAGCGGTCCCTGATGGCAGAGAGAAGGAGCCGCTGACACATAAGAGGCAGGGATCAGGTTTTCTGCCATTGTCTGTGGCCCTTTTATCAAAGCTAAAAGCTACATAACTAGGTGACACGCAGTGCTGGGAAATCTCAGTGTGCTCCAAAATAAGATTTTTTTTTTTTCAAGGAATTTGTGTTTTCACTGAGTACTGCCCTCGTGGATGCGGAGCTCACACAGGGGTGGTGTCAGCTGTATACATATGTACTGACACACACGCATGTGTATGTTGCCAGTCTCCAGCGGGACAAACGGATCCAGATGGAAACTCCGGAATTACATTCCCTACAGGAAGCAATCCACCTGAAGCTACACACACATACAACACTAATGCTAATCAGGATTAGGTTCCCTGCTCTCTGGAATGTGTTAGAGGAAGTAAGTGTATATGTGAGCGTGTGTGTGTGTGTGTGTGTGTGTGTGTGTGTGTGTAGACGTCACTAGTACCAGGGGAGTTGTAGCAATTGGTAAGTCATCAGTGTAGGCATGACGATGTTGGGTCATCGCTGAGGGAACACATGATCTACTCGCCGAGCCAAAGCCTGGGCTTCGTGGATGTAATCGAGCTTTTAATCAATGGTATTTCAACGGACGTGGCGTTATTACAGAGACGATGGCCTGGGATTTTTCTGACTCTGCGGTGCCATTTTCACAAGAGCAGAAAGAATCAATTTGCTACAACCAAAACTGCCAGTTATGATGAACAAGCTACAGAAATGTATTACATTACACTGTGATGAATAAAGGACAAGAAACATGCATGTTTGACTGGGAGGACGAGGGGGGGGGGGGGGCACGTGGACACACGCAGTGGAGAACCAACCAACAATTGCCTCCCCTCTTCATCAAAACATCAGCGTTTGACCTTGGTCATCATGAGCTGTACCAGGTGGCGTATTTAGTGCATGCTTGTATGTGTATTTAGCTGAAATGCAGTAGATCTTGTAAAAGCTGGAGAGTTCTACTGTTTCTTTAGCACAGAATGTTAGAGTTGAGAAATACGAGTGTCCAGAGAGCAACAGCCTTTGTGTTGAGGGCTCCAGCCACGGTTGTTATTGTTATTATAATATTAGGTGAAATGGGGTTTGGTGCCGCTTGGTTGAAAAAAGCCAGCAGACACCGGACATTCGAGAAGACCACAACAGTTGTTGAAGTCTTTTGGTTACACATTAAAGCTAAGGAATAAAACATAAAGCAAGAGCTTCCACTGGGCTTTTGAGTTTCAGATCATTTTGTAAGACCAGTAAAAAAATAGATTGTATGTATGCCAATCCCTGAACTGAAAAAATAGTTTTTGTTTAGCTGAGTGGTTCCCAAAGCGGGGGGCGAGTCTCCACTAAGGTCCAACAAGGCAAATTAATTTGAGTATTTTCCTTAATTGTGCGACAGTGGGAAACTTTTAATTATTGTGTGCAATAAAAGCTGCAGTTTTATAGTGTTTTTTTTGCAGTTTAAAAAAAAGAAAAGAATTTCAATCACAATGTGAATGGTTTAGAATGTCTTTGACATATTGTTGGTGTATTGTTGAGCCCCCCCATGTCAATTAGATGGGGGGCTCAACAATACACCTACACAAGGGGGCGCTGCAAAACAGGTTTTAGTTGGGCTTGTAAAAGAGTTTCTCATGTGTTCAGTTTACACTATGAACATGTGCAAAAACATTGTTCAGATCACATGTGAGTGAAACACGCATGAAGAAGCGGGGGGTTACGGTGAGTGTAATTGCGTGTGTGTTTTTAATGCTAGTGGCCAAAGCTAAGAAACAACAGTATATGTCTATCTCCTGGACTTGTTCTCTTTCTCCTCTGCCACCACTGCCCTCCACCACTGTTACCTGAACTGCAGCATAGAGAATCTGTTAAGCACGTTCTATATTTCGGTTGTCCCGACCTGCTGAGAGGACTGGCTTAGATTACACCACGTATCCGTGTTTGTGAAATACAGCTGTGGTCTGCTGAAGGGTGAATATAATGAACTTGCCTTGGTGAAAAACACAGAGAGATGCGTTTCACTGCCAAGGATCCAAATAGGGAACTTCGGAGACTTGAGGAATGCTCCCACCTAAAATACACATGGAGAAGAGGAATGAACACCAAATATGTGTCTATTATGAGTGCTTATCTCCATGAATCAGAGACTGACGAGATTGTAAAAAGTGTTTATGAAGCACATTAATATCTGAAGAGGCAGAGCAAGAACAACAACAGCTGGTTTTCATCTCTGGAGCTTTATTGTCCAGCAGTATAAAATAAAATGAACCCAATAAAGGTTAAAATAAATGTGTTCTTTAGAGAGTGCCTGATTAATCATCTGCACCTCAGAGAACAATTGTACTGATTTACACAAGAACAGTAACTTCAGGAGAACAACATTGAACTAGAAGGTAAGGAGATTCCTGCCTTTTTTAAAAAAAAAAAATTCCCAATTCTTAAATCTTTCCTAAGAGCTCTCCAGTAGTTTGGACAACAATCTCCCTGCAGTTACTATTGGTATTTATTATAAGTGATGACTCAGCTGTTGATCTTTTGTCAGCAGTGATTGATAGGCAGAGAGAGTTTCATGTCTGGATAATGCGTGACATATCTTGTATTTCTAATTGCAGTGATTAACGATCTATTTTAGTTTTATGTTTTCTTGCACATTTGCCAGAAAAAAAAACAAAAAACAGTAGTGAGGTTTTTACAGATATGACACCTCCTCCTGAACATATGGAAGAAATCATTTCAGAGGTGGCAAAAGTTCTTTGCATTCTTTACTTAAGTAGAAGTACAGATGCTCACGCAATGGCAGTGGAACTAATTTAACTCTGGTGAATGTGACACTGAATAAACTGTAAAATACTGTTCTGAATGAGGATGTCTGCAACACTCACATACATCACTGTCCTGTGTAAGTATTTTTAAATATGTGTATTTTTTAAAATGTTGACTGACTCGGTCATCTCACAATTATTTCCATTCCAGCAATAATAAAAATAAAGTCGTAACCTCTTCTGTTTCTTTAGCTGTAGAACAGACAGCCTTTTTATTTTGGATCCCCCTTTGCCTCGTGCATGTTGGACATGAAAATGTCAAACCCCTGCACCTCTCCTGTCACTTACAGAGGAAATGTGGTCATTTAAAATTTAACCACTTCTACAAAACATTTGTGACTTTGCTCCAGATCAGTCAACCTCAGTATTTATGTCAGCATCGCTGTTACCGTTATTACTTTTTTTCTCTCCTAGCAGCCGCAGCAGGTAGTCTTGACTCCAACACCCCCTGCTCTGTTGAAGTTGGTTTTATTTTGGCAGTAGTGTGACACGGCTGTTAAGCAATGCTCATTATAGAAACATCACATTGTGTGACATCATGCCTGTCTGTAATCTTGATCCTCCTGAAGTTCTATTCATTCATTTTGCTTGCCACAGATCTAACAACTGAACCTGACTTCGGCAGATCTTTCGGATGAGTTAAGCACTTAACCGGGCCAATGCTGCCTAATGCACATAGCAGAAACCCTGCTTGGCATCATGTCAAAGTTTATTTTTTGTATACATATTGCTGCATCATCAATATTGCTCATCAATACAACCACAAGTTAAAGTCACACAATCATTTCCCACTCTGGCGTTTGCTTTATAAACAGGAAATGCCTGACGTCTCAGAGTCACAAGTTACAGTGTGTTTGTTTGTGTTTGTTCACTTAGCACCATCACACTCTCTAAAGTACTTCTCTCACAAAGTAAGAAAAAAACTGTCAGAACTTCTATGTCTGTACCTTGCAGTAGCGTAGTGATTCCATAAGTGTCAGGAAGCCAACGGACGCCTGCTTATGAATACCATGGAGTTCTACGAGACAGGAGAAATGTTCATTTGTTACATGATCTCAAATTGGCATCGACTTGTCTCTTCTTTTTGCCTTTCAGTGGGATGTAAGAAATATTGCCCAGTGATGGATTTAGTTTAAAACTAAGGCTACAAACTGGGCTCTGAATGATGTGTGCCCCCAGTGGGGAAATTGCCTGTTTGTGTTTATGGACGTCTTACTCATTCCAGAGCAATCCCTGTCTCCATCCCAGACATTAGAGACAGCATGGCCAGTTACTAGGAGATTAACCAGGCTCTGGCTACAAAATAGAGACATGAAGACATAGGATAAAATACACAATACAAATGAACACAATAAACAATGCTATAATGGCCAGTGTGTGAGGAGGATTTTACCTGCCGTGACCATGCACGGGGTCTATGAGGGGCTCCATCGTGTCCTGGATCTCATTTCTTATATTTTCTATACCCTGCACAAAAAAGTCACAGTGGGCAATTGATTTCACAGAATAAGGAAGTAATACAAAACGCATTAGTACTCTTCTGAAAAAAAACCCTTAAATCATATGTTAGCCACTCTCCTGAAAAAAAAAAACCCTTAAATCATATGTTAGCAACAGAAGGTACAGGAGCCAACATCTGTGCATCAGAAATAACAAGTGTGTGTTTATTTATGTTTTTTCAAACCTAACAAATACAGAGAACGCCCAGAGTCATTATTCAACATGTAAGTCTGTTTCTTCCTCCATACATGTTCAGTGAAAGGATTACCTTGGTAAGGATGACTGAATAGAGAAAAAGCAAAACTCCACAGCACCCCCCCCAGGTGTGGTAGAGGGACAGCACCTCCTCTCTCAGCTCTGACACGGACATGACAGTACGCTTGCTGCAGCAGAACAGACATTAAGATGAGTTATAAGCATTGGCGAGGAAAGAAGATTTGTCGGGCTTTACAACGTCACAGTCGGTGACTCTGGTGCAGTAACTGTCAGCCGCGTCGGGACGGCAGAGATTTACCTTCAGGATGCATCACAAATCTAGTGAATGAACCAGGGGACGGGGACGATTTGGACCTTATCTATTTGGAGACACTTTTGGTTTTTGCTTCACCTTTGAAAGTTTCAAATTGGGCTGTCTGTCTTCATTATCATGCAGCTTTTCCACAGTGAGTCAGCAATGCTTTTTTGCTGACTTGTGCCCTAACTGCAGCGTGATAAAATTTCAATATTTCCCTGGCAAAGCTGCCTGGTGTGAATTTAAGTTTGTTTGTTTAAAATGGTCAGTGAAGGGCAAGGATTCTATTTTTCATGATGAAATTAATGCAAATGATGATTCATCGGCAGTTTTAAATAAAGAGATTAACACTGTAAATCAAGCTAAATCATTAAACTACAGTTGAGAAAGAGCATGAAGACAACATGTGTTAAGTGTCACTTACTGAAGAACACTGTGAAATTGCTCAAAGCCCAGATCCTCAGCAGCAAGAGCAGCTAGGCAAAAAACACACACACATTCATTAATTAAAGCTTGACTCAGCAAAACACCACACTGTCAAATGTTAGTCATCGAATTCAAAGATCCAGTAGGACGCACTTGGTTGCTGCTCCTGTGGAGGTTGGCTGCTTTCTGCCTCTGGCACACCCTGCGTCTGCGACTGTGTCTTAGTATGCACACTAGCTTGTGGAATCTGTCCTTTTGCCCAAGTCACCAGGTAGAACCGCGTCGAAGGGCTAGAACAGGCAGACTCGAGGATTTCGCTCAGAGTGGAACACAGAACAGTTTTCTGCTCCTCCTCTGACGGATGTTAAAAATACAGAAAGTATTTATTGTTTAACGGCCTGTGGTGTCTAGAATAATAGCACAAATGACAGGAGTGAAGAAGATTCACCTGATATCTGCCTCCAGTTTGGGCATTCTCTGTTGAAGAGAATGTTCTTTAAGAGAAAAGCCTGAAAAGAAAAAAAACAAGACTTAAGAGTTTGTTTGTTTGTTCAGGTTTCACCACTGATTTATTCATGTAATAATGTAGCTATGACAAGCCTGGGGAAATACAATTGCAGAATTTGCTCCAGTATTTTATCACGTAACTTAAAGCACAACCTTTTCAACACTTCTATTTCAGACTTTAGGCATTTTAAGTCAGTGTGATTTTGATCCTACCTGAACAGGTGCAATAACAGCACATGGTCCACCTTCAAACTGCTCCAGAGCTGTGTGTTCATTTTCACTGAAAACAAATCCTGTAAAAGGCATCAATACACAGTCGTTAAGTAACAGTCATGTGAGATGTTGCAACATTAGGGCTTTCTCTGCACAGAATCTTGTGACTCATAATATGATATCTTAATGTTCAGTTAAGAGAGCAATCAAACTTGGACCTGTTAATTTTATCTTGGACAGATTAGATTATGTTTTTGGCACCGTGCAGACGCATTACTCATATTATTATTATTATTACAGGTCAAGTGACTAAACTTCATTATTATCATCATTCAAGTAAGAATACACTTCCTACCTTGAGTCCACCTACGGAAGATGGAAGCAGACACTCCTCCACCAGATGGTCTCCCCCAAACTAGATCCACTACCTCCTTATTCAAATCTGACATATTGACTTTCTCTGCAGGCAAATCGACAGACACTGCCTCTTTAATCTAACAACCCGGTTGGGATAACAGAGGTCTGATGAGGCCAACTTGATATCTTTTCCAGTGGTGTTTGATAATCCACGTCCCTCGTCAAGTGGAGCCTGTGGCATTGGCCACAAGCGGTCTGTGTAGCTACACACAGTCTGACTCCAAAGGCTGGATGCAAACTGGCGAGTAAGGATGACATCAACCGTACCGCCCCTGCTTCAAAGTAATGAAAAAGAAACATCAGTTACGTCACGTAAACATACTTTGTGATGTAAACACAAGCAGCCATGCAAAGAATCGTTTTGATGTCACTTTTACATCACATATTTTTGAACACTCGTTAACAACGAGCTAAGCTAACACGTCCAGAAGCACCCGACTATTGAATTAAGCATTAACGGTTATCCGGAATCAAGCCTTCGGTTCAACTGTGTAATGTCGAGGGGGATTTGTTGTGTTGCTGAGGATTTTTAAACCCAAAAGGAGTTAGTAATACCTAGAGTTAGCATTAGCATCACCACTAGCAGCTAAGCATCCAGTGCTTTGTCATTCAGTGACTTCACACAATGCGTCGACACCAACAGTTGTAATTCGATTTTTTTCTGCTTCTAAATTGAAAGATGACGTAGAACCATAATTACCTGGACACACGTTCCGTATGATGGCTTTTGTATTTACAATAAGTTTTGTTAGGCAATGTCAGCTCGTCTCTGTCATTCGTTTATTTACAACAGAAATGCAAATACGGTGCGTACATTTGACGTGTCATATGATTGGTTCAAATCCAGAAAGGTTACGCTGCGTCAGGGGGCACAGCCCGGACGCGTTTCTTCATTGGTTAACACTCGTGTCAGTCATATTGACGACCGTCTACAAACATGCAATTTGATTAGTTTAAAACTACTCAACTAAAAAACGAAAAACCCTAAACTATTGACGCATAAGGCTTAGCTGTTGTTTATTTTTAGAAAACAAAAAAAAGTTAAATGGGTAATTAGTATTGTTGTCAGTATGTTTCTATTCCGTGAAAATTGTCTACTCCAATTTCCCGTAGTTTGCTGTCGTCATCGATTGTGGCATGCGCACTGCTGTTCCTTTGGTCCAGCCACTTGTACTTTCCACGCGTGTTACAAACACATAATCTAAAAAAGTATATTTTAGCAGAATTTTCGGGAAACGGGGCACTTTGTCGATAATTATGGGAGGACAGGCAAAAACAAAAAAGAGAAATAAGCCCAAAAGGAAGGAGAACCGCCCTGGTAGGGGTAAGTTGCTTTGTTTTTTCAAAAATATTGTTTGGATTATTATTACAGTAGGATGTTGACGTCAAGTTCTTGGACAGTAAGCAGTGGATATTTTGTCACTTTAGAAAAACGATACATCAGACATAACGCTGTTTCGTTTTTAAAGGCGATGCAGGGATTGTTGGATTGTCACCACAGGAAAGGATGCAAGTAAGGATGCACGAAAAAGCCAAGAAGAAAACAGCTCAGAAGTACTCTGTTCAACAGCTACTAGAAAAGGTGACTTAAACCTGGTGTGTCAAACACGATGAAGGTAAAACTTTAAGATAAGTAAGTAGTTCTTACGATTTGTGTCATGTTTTATGCTGCACAGACCGAGGAATGCATGGACAGTTTTGACCTGGACATGGCTTGTCTTTTCTGCCAACGAGCCCTGGATGTGGAGCCGACCAATCAACAAGCACTCGATATGCTGGGACACATCTACTCTGAACTGGGAGACACGCAAAAAGCCAAAGAAATATCCTTTATGGGTTTTCCATGTCATACCTGTGTATTGCAGTAATTGCAGTTCATGTTCCCTCAGTTGTAGCTTCCTTGACTAACTCTGTACATTTTCCTGCGTGCAGTAGAACTAAGTCCAGATGAAGGTCATAGTAAATATATGTACCTGGGACAGATCCACACGGGCCAGGAAGCTGTGGGGTACTACAGCAAAGGAATAGAAGCTCTACTGTCGGCACTGGACAAACAAACCAAGACCACAGTAAGTACACTCCCCCCAAATAATTATATTCTTTTTTGTTAGGTTTTCAAACATTTAATGTAATGTAATGGAACTTCACAAGAGGGTGCTGTTGGATTGTCTTTCTATACACAGTACTTCTGTCTTTTTGTATTTGCATTCGATTAATTCTTGGAAATCGAAACATAAACAATGAACCATGTATTCGTCAAGTAAGTCAATACTACTATGAATGACAGCATCCGGTATTAGAAATGGCCATCATCTGAATACAAGTCTTGGCTTGTGCCAGACTAACACATATTAAAGGATCAGAGTTGCATTTGCAATTTGCATTACTTGTACAAGAAAAACTGATAACATAACTTGATGTGGCAACATATATTTCTGTATAGTCTTTTGGTTAACAATAATAGAAGAAAGAAAACATTTTACATTTTCCACACAAATAAATCTTACTGCTTTTTCAGAGCAGATGTTTTGTCTGAGTAGCACAAGTGCAGGTGTTGCTAAAAACTTTCCTTCTGTCCAAGTGTCCCAGTAAGACTCAAGTGTGTGACTCTGAGCCAGCTGGCAAAACAGCAGGACATTATAACTGAAGTTACCATCATCTATCACAAAGCTAATTAAAAGGGTGTTTACTCAGCCAATGTTTGGTGTTCTTCATTTATTTAACGTAGCATTATGCACCCATGCAATGTCTCCCTTAACAGTAATAAAATCCCTTAAATTCACCTAGAAACATATATTATACATTATATGTTTGGTTTATGTTTGAAAGTAATGTTCTTTTTAATAGCATGGTTCTGTCAGCACCTTATATGGACTAAATGGAAAGAGAAATGAAGCTCAATAAAAACTAAGCTGTTATTTTAACCCACAATATTTTACTTGATTTTCTAAAAAAAGAAAAATAGAAAGACTATTAGCCTCTTAAATAAAATCACATTTTCAAACAGCCAAATATTCATGAATAAATCAAAATGTAAGGACCTGCAGAAATTGATCTGCCTGCTCATTAATTTCATTAGGCCTGATGAAACCTTTGGCAGAGTTCCAATATGTCCAATAAAACCTGGAAAATGAATGGGCAATTTTACAATCATGGAAAACATTATAAATGAGAAAGGAAGTCAAATGTTTCTTTTGTCGTTGATGCTTTGTATTGGAGTTATTTTCCTCCTGCTTCCATCTGGTGAGTTGCTCCATGTGACAGTATCAAACCAGTTCAAATTTGCTTGTCATCTCAGACTAGCCCTTGGATTTAATGATCTTTTTGCTGTTGTTCAGGACTAAGCAACAAGGGGCTAATATAGAGATTGCGCATTGAATCCTGCTGTATTGCTGAGTCTGTCCGTCCCCTGTTGAAAACTAATTTTTAGGTAATCTACATTGATGTAAAACAAAAAAGGATATAAATGTAGAAAAAAACACAGTACAACTAGCAGCTGAAAATGTCCTATAAAGAGAGTCGTAAACCTGTTTGGTCTTCTGTTCTCTGCTCCTGCAGCAGGCTGAAGCTGGAGCTGCTGCCCAACCAGAGGAGGACACTGATCTCCCCACAGTGAAGGATGTCAGTGTCGCCTACTGCTCCATGGCTGAGATTTACCTGACAGACCTCTGGTACTGTTGCCCACGGACTTGGGCTTTTGACACATGTAACTCACTTGTAATACGATTGCATAATCATGTAGGTTGTATGTGTATGTATGTGTGTGTGTAGCATGGAAGAAGGAGCTGCAGACAAGTGCAAAGAGTTTATTGAGAGAGCATTACGTTATCACCATGACAACCCAGAGGCTCTGCAGCTCATGGCCAGTTACCTGTTCAGCACAGAGAGAAACCAGGTCAGTGTATACACACACACACACACACACACACACACAGACATACAAATGCTGGGGATGAGTTATCACCACATTAAAACAGGAATCTGCTGAGTTAATTATTCTAAGCAAATTGAATTGTTGGCCATTAATCAGTCGATGGACACTTGCATTAACATGCACACATACATGGACAGGTCACACTGATAGAAATGTTAATTACTGGCCACATCACTGAGGATATGTTGTCATCTGATAAGGAGCAAGAACAGGAAAAATGTTAATTCAAATCAGTTTGGAAAATAATGCAGCAATCAACTGGCAACTAAATTTCCCTCTTGACAGAACTTTGAACAGAACTTTTGAAATGTGTAACCGTAACTCCCCTCATAATGAATTAATCCTTTCTTTATTGGATGGCAATGTAATAAAAATGAAATAAGTATTTAATAGATTCAGCAGATTCCACTTTAGTAGCATCAGTTTTTATTGTAGGCGTTAATGAACAGCACATTTTTTCAAGGCTACTTTTTGGATATTTATTTTTTATCTGTTGGTATTGTGTCCTCAGTGTTTGTCTTAAAATTAATGCGATTGGATTATTAAGAACAATGGTGTAAGGCCAAGGAAAATCGGGAGCTCAAGTGGGCATGTAATACCTGCTTTAAGCACCAGGGGTCAGACCAACTCTAAACACTTCTGGCCGAGACTGATTTTTAATTCCTTTGAAACGATTTAAATGAAATTATTTTTCAAGTCATAACAATCCATAGCGGTACAACGATAAGCTCTAAATAAGTAACAATTAACCCAAACGTATCCACCTACTAAAATACTTTTATTTTACTTCAGATGTTCTTTTTTTTTGCATTTTCTTTTTGTGACTTAATAATTAAAAATATGCAATCCTCTGTCTCCAGGAAGGTAAAGAATACCTGTTGAAGAGTGTCGGATTATGGCTTCCCTTCCAAAAACAGAACGCAGCGTCTTCCAGCTCAGACGAAGGCACACAGGTGAACTGGAGCTGAGCTTGACTATTTTTTCCTGACAGGAACTAGGCCTCATAAGATCCTGGTTTATTTATAAAGTACTTTCATCTAACGGGATTGTCACTGCGTGCTTCACAGTAAGAAGAAACATTAGGACACCATAAGGGGGTAAAAAAAAAAAAAAGATTTATAAAAAACATGGATAATTACCAATATTTTTGGTAACTTCTGCCTCTCAAATCTGTACATTTGTGTTTGTGTGTGACTTGTGTTTGTGGAGGGCTGATTCTAGGCACAAGGCACAGAAAAACAGAGAAATAAAAAAAATAGATGTCAAAGTCAGGATATGCACTGAGTTTCTTAGAATAAGTAGTAGCAGTGTTTGCATTTGAAATTGAGGCAATTATTCTCTTGGAGCAGGTTTGTGTGAACTCTACCAGCTGACACTGTAGCTACATTTCTCTTTTTACCTTAAAATATGTTCAGCCAGACAATAAGAAGGGAGGAAAAAGTACTCAGACGTTGATCTTGTATTTTTCTGTATTTTTTTGATTTTCTCAGAGTGAGATCCCTCCATACGAGTCCCGCATCACAACAGCCAAACTGCTCATGGAGTCAGAAGAATACGAGGTAAAAGCGTGTTTGTTGTGCTCTCACACCGCATTGGGATGTAGCTTGTTTGTGTGTACTTCAGCCGGCTCTTGTGGTTTTGTGCGCACCAGTGTGTGCACCTTTCTTTCTACTGAACAGCAGTGAAGGTGGGAAGGTCTGGGCCCCGTCTTTATCCCCCTCAGAGGTTAGTGTCAATAATTGAAGAGTGATATTTACTGTGTGGGACAGAGGGAAGAGGGCATGCAGGGAGGAGGAGTGGTCGGGTGAAAGAAGCTTTATTCTGATGAATGGCTGCCATATCTGTGACGCCATGACCTGCTCTAATAAATCACTCATTAGTATTCAGTCTTAATGGCCTGGATTTTAGTGGCTCAGTGGCTTCATTTCGGTGCTAAATCCCCTGAACACTTATTAATGTTTTTTTCTTTTTCGATTGCTTCCGAACCGGCAGCAGCTCCAGCAGGTTGGCTTTGAAATTACACATCCACAGAAACTTTGTGAGGTGTAAGAGTCAAATGACAGCGTCTCGGTCCACAGGTCGTCATATGTCATTTGTCTTCATCATCCCTTAAGCACAATCGGTGTACAACCCTAAACCCAGCAGGTGTGTGTATACACACACACACACACACCACTGCACCAGTATGGTTCCATTTGCCCTTTAATATTGCTCTAGATTAGGGTTGAATGTTTCTGAGGAATAGGAGTTTTATGGGCGCAAGAAGAGACGAGACAAATTGTTTTCCATCAGTCTCTCTGTCACAATTCTCTCCCTTTGCAACACAAACAATCTCAAATATAGTTTTTGGGATTGTCTGTCCCTTTTACACACGATTTAATAACATAACAGTATCACCCACTTCTATCACAAAACATCTTCATGAAACTATATTCAATATATCTTAATCTATATTGAATACAAATCTTCATGTAACATGAATATATGTATATACGTGTGTATATATTTATATTTATGTACTTATATACTATATATATTTTCATTGGGCCTTCATGAAGTCAACAGACATTTCTTGTTGATAGTATAGCCATTTGGGTGGAGCTGAAGCAGAAGCAGAACAAAAATATCTCGTACTTACAGTTTGGGTTTTCCCTCATTACAACGTGTTCGTGGAGGATCATTACACTCATATTTAAAATATCCTCGTTTTTTGTGTCGCAGTGTCTGTTGGTACTCACTGCTCGAGCTCCTCACACTCCAATGCAAGGCGGTGATTGAATGATTAAAGAGATAATATTTTCTTCTGTTGCATTCAGTGACAAATAAATAACAGTACAAAGGGCACGGCTCATTAGACGAAGTATTCTGCTCTGTGAATTGCTAATACTTCTAAGTATATCTTTGAAGCTGGTACATTTATTTTGTTTAAACTTGTATTCATTATTCATCCAGTGAGACATTAAAACCAGGAGTGAGCAGGTCAGTACTAGTGGCCACTCTCTTCAATACCACAGCTGAACAAGTCGTGTGCAGGAGAACAGCACTGTTATTGGAAAAACAATCTTTTCTTAACCAAACAAAAGCCAGTCAAGGCCACGGCCATTAATGCTTTTGTGTCCATTTGATATTTTTATTTTTGATATTTTTTTTGATACAGCACATTAAAAACCTTTGAATAAAATGTAGAAAACAAAAATCCCCACAAAATGATTTTTTAAGGTGGAACTTTGGGGTCATAAAAATCGTCCCATTAACTAATGATAAAAAGTGAATTCATGTATCTCTTTAGACTCTTTGTGTACAATTTGCAGGATGTGATTATTCCACATCAACACGTGTATCTGTGCCACTTAATTAGCAACAGAAACAAAAATCTTTTCTTCCGTGAGAAGAAAAAAAAAACATGAATACTGAGTGAGTCTTTTTCATTATTTCTCAGAAAGACGCGGCACACAGTGTGTGAGGTGCTTGAAGCAGCTCTACTGCTCCGAAATTACCATTCAGATGAATTATGTTTGTTTGGAGTGCGTCAGTGTCTGCGGTGATGAAACACTTTAACTGATAAATTGGTTATAAAAAATAACTTTAGCAAAAAGTCTGTTTTTTCTCGCCAGTATTAAACGAAAACATAAGTGTACAGTTTTTTTTTTTAACATTTGTCCTGTGACAAATACATTTTTACAAACTGTTACAAATCGGGTATTTTTATTTACGTACTCGTTGTGTACTGATACATCTATAGTTTGGGTTTCATTAAATATATTATGACCTGGCACTACCCGGTTACTTACACCCACTTTATTTAATATTCTTAAACACAAGGTTACTGGATGTCTATCCAAAAAGAAACAAATCTTTCTGTATTCAACAAAATAAGCACAAAATATTCAATAATATAGTGATAAAAATTATTTTAAAAAGAGAGTAAAATTATAATCATCATCCCTCATTATAATCAGCACATTCAGATGACCAGAAAGTGAGCAGAGCTTGTACGCCTATAGTTCATTTGAATTGAAAATGGTTTGTCAGTTAAACTGTCACACTCTTTACAGGTGAACAAAAACACTGACGCCTGACTAAGTCTCAACAACAAAAAGTAGCTCTTCTATTCACTGAGCCCTCGAACTGTGAAGAGACAATATTGTCATCAGCCTTGAGGCACATCTTTTCTTTCACAGTAACTTCAGAAATTAAGTAAATGCTTTGGTTTTCTTCCTTGATTTAAAATACTGCTGACATTGTTGCTTAACTTCAATAAACTCCCCGTGAGACGCAGAACTGCAGCAGCTGCTTCAGAAGTGTCAGGTCTCTGGATCAGCACGCTTTTGAGAGCCAGTATTTGAATCTAGTATCGGAAGACATACTGCCGTTTTGCTGTAGGGCGAGCGCAATAACCACTTCCACCCTGGAGCCTTTATTGACTGATGGGGATAAAAAAAGTCTTCTAGACCACATTGCTCTCTCCTAGCTTCCAACTTTCATTATTTTAGAATAAATGGCAGCTTAAGGTTTTAAAAAAACTTTTTCTTTCATGGAAAAGAGCATTTCTTCGACCAACTACTGTGGGCATTTTTTTCTGTCTTGTATAAAACATATATGGGATAAAACTGCCCGAGCTAAGATGGTTGGTTTATCAATCAGTCAACAGACAGAAGATGAAGTGGATGAAGTCTGGATTCCTATTTATCATGTGTAGCATATATCAACCACCCAATATAAAACCTTATCCACCACAGCCTCCACTGCTGATGTCTGTTTTTTCCCCCACTGCTCAAAATAATTTACTCTGTTCCCTCGTCGGGTGGATTGAACAATTAATCACACAGAATCTGACCGATCTCTTTGACTTGTTTAATAACGTTTTAATGCTTTGTTTTAGTAGGAAATTGGCAAACGCAGATCAATCTTCATACACACACACACGCACCTGTTCTCAAACAAAAACACTTATTAATGTCATCATCACCAATCATTACCTCCGTCAGATGCCGCTCCTGTCAGTGAACGCAGTTTTACATTTATGTTTTCAGATTTTTAATTTTAGACAAGTTAACAAGTGGGATTATATTTTCCATTGATTCACAGCAGTGCAGTTTCCTTGACAGCCCTGGGTTTTATTTACTTAAGTGTAGACTCTTCTTTGTGCCTGTACGCACGTGTGCGTGTGTGTGTGTGTGTGCGTGCGTTTGTGTGCTGGAGATACAGCTTGCCCTCGCTTGTAAAGTGATTTGTCTTTCTCCTGTCTCTGTTGTGCGCTGCAGTAAAATGATTCTGTTAAACAAAATTGCTTGATGATTGCCCAACATGCACACACACACACACACACACCTACACACACACACAGAATGGCAATTATAAATTAGTTTCTCCTCGGAAGACTACTTTTGCTTTCTCCTTTAACAGGTCTTGAAATAAAGAGGACACCACGGTGTACATGGTGTTGTGCGTCACTGTTGGTCCTGGGCCAACCTTCTGTTGTTTACTGAAACAAGAACCATATTGAAATGCTGCTCTTCAGATTCTATCCTGGCAAAAATTCCTCCTGTGTTCTACTGTTTCTGCCTCTCCTTCATGAAAACAAAACAAACAAAAAACATTAAGAAGGTTTTAGAGTCATTAATGGTTGTCCCCTGGTGTGACCAGTTCAGTGGGTCACGAAGGTTCTGGTTCTGACCGGTCACTTATCCCTGCTCCCAAACCTCTCCTTCATTATCCCTTGTTTATTATGCTCTGCTCTGTGAAAGGAGTTTTCCTCCAATCGCCTGTTCGTCTCGTTCTCTTTGTGTGCATTTGTGTGAGCATGTGTTTTTTTTTTCTTTTTCTTTCACCGCACCGTGACACTGTGAAAGTCAAGGAGATAATTGTGAAGCCAGACGGGAGTCTGCTCATCATCACGTGGGATTAGATGTTTTTGTTTGTGTATTTTTAATTAGTCATTAATTAAACAGGGACAATAGGTTCACGTCTGATAATTGGCCCGGCAGTCAATCAGCCATCTCCTCAACATGCACACGTGCACACACCTAATGACGTCCTCTCGGTTAACCTGTGAGCCACAGTCTGTCCAGGGCATGGAGCCTTTTAGTCGACCTAATGAAAACAGAACTCCAAAAAGTAAGAGCGGGAAAAAACTCGGACCTCTCCACCTAATAAGACCTGCCTTAATTAGAAACAAACACTGCTTGTTGTGCTCACTGTTATGTGTGTTGTATTTGTCAGTGTGTGCCTACCTGATTGTGTGTGCGTACGTGCACTGCTACGTGTTTAGCCCTTCACCACGGGTGATTGGCTAACAGTGGCCTCCTACCTGAATTTGACAAAAATCAATATATCATCACCTGGGACCAAACACACACACACACACACACACGGAATTGAACCAGTGAAGAGAGAGAGATGGAGCAAAACAAACCCACTGCTACTTCAGTCTGGGTCTGTTTTCTGTAATTGAAACTTCCCACAGAAACAGACCCAGACAGTGACGCACTATGACAAAGGTCAACCAACATTAAACTCCTTTGAGACCTCAAATGCTCTGTCCGGGATACTATAGAGAGGAAATCCTCGGAAAATTGTAAGGCCGGTGGGTCAAGCTGAGTGGCAGGTTTTGTTGCGCCCTCTGTGGCGTGGGGTCGGATACTAAAAATATAAGCACTGTAAATGTCAGTAAATGGATGAAAAAAAGCGATTGAACAGGAGAGCCAAAGTGGGTATTGACCCGGCGATAAGCACTGCTGAGTGGGTATAGATGGCCGCGTATGTTGTCTTGTTGTAATCAATGATGTTGAGAACGTGGCACTTGCCTCATAGATGCTTATCAGAGCCTCTGACCACGGTGATTGATTGAGGGGCTGAGAGATGCACGCCACCCGTCTTCTTTTCTTTGTTCCTGACTGTGTTGGAGGAATTGCAGAGACAAAAGAGAATGTTTTTTTTTTTTTTCCAACGTTTTTCCTACTTGTTCGGCCTTCTTCACATTTTCCCTTCTAACCTGGCGCTCTGTTTTCATCAGATGGCTGTGGATGTGTTGGAAGCTCTTCTGGAGGAGGACGATGAAGTTGTCCAGGTAAGAAAAAACATTTTCTTCTTTCCTTGTACTGTAGTTTCCTGTCTTGGATGCAGAAATGCATACACACCCACAGTGGATACTCCAGAGTTGCTGACTTTATTAATGGAAGGAGTCTTTGCTTAAATCATCAATAATTTTTAATACCTCCAGTAGAGGAATCACATTTGTCTTGTCCCCTCACCGGGGGTCTCCACAGCCATAGTCAATGCAGTGATATGACCCGCAGGTGGTAGGCGGGGGTCCTGACGCTGCAGTACGCCCCCAACTGATACGTTACAGGATAAAGGCAAACTTTGTAGATAATTAAAACTAAAACTGAGTGTGTTTAATATGCTGTCATATTTTTAATGCACACTGATGAAAACACCACAACAGTCATATTCAGCTGTTACTGTCCTTCAGCTAAGTCTAAAAGACTGAGGATTGAGGTTCTGTCTCAGGAGGACCAGACTCCTTAGGAACTACAGACCTTAAGAAGGCCAATAAGAATGTAGTGTGAAAACAAATACACACACAGACACACACACATATATCAGAGGTGGTCCAAATGGTTTTTTTTTATAACACCCCACAGCTTCTTCTCACTCTCTGTTTGACGCAGGTTCATTAAATCTGAATGAACAATCAACAGAAACTACACGACACAAAACAATGTTTAAATATAGTCCAGACTAAATTATAAAGTGACTCACTTCAGGGGATAAAAAGCAAGAAAATATAGTCTTTGTTTTAAAAGTAGGAAATGTTTAATTACGGTCTTAGAGCAGGGGCTCAGCAGGTACACACACACACACACATACATTCTCTACAACAGGGGTGTGTGTCATTATCCGACACGTGTCCACTTTACTTTTGTTTTTTATCTTGTTCCTCTGATGTAATTTATGCTATTTTTTAAAAATATAAACAACCTCCTGGGTTTCCTGATTTTTTATTTTATTAGTATACATTTCCGTAATGAACATGAAAAAAATGCCTGCTCAGCAAGAAAGCTGCAAAGTGAACAGCATTCACGAGCCAGAAACCTGGTGTAAAAGTGTCACAGGCCTCATGTTTTCATATTAATGGTAGAAGGCTGCAAACTGAAAGCTTTCGATCAAATACAACCTTGCTAACAATTTAATTTTTGCCGGACAACCTCATGGTCGACCTTTAGGTTTTTACATTAGTTTGTGTATTTGTGTATACATTTGTATTGGTGTAGTGGCTGTCAGTAAAGAATCTGCTCAAAGTTTCTGCACAGGTGACATGTGGAGGAAAAAAAAAAATATTTGCAGAGTGGAGTGAAATATTTCACTCCAACATTACCAGAAAGAAAAAATATATGTCGAGTAATCAGTGTTAAAAGTTTTGGCAGTGGCTACAAATACATCAACTTGATTAATATAAAAACATTGAGAAACTGAAGCGGGTCAGAGGATGTCATCTGCGGAGGCGGTCTCTCATCCATCCTGAGGACAGACCGCAGTCATGCGTACGCAAATTAATGTGGCCATATGTTTATCCACAAGACTTCCAAACGTGCTTTTGGTGATTGGATGTGAAGACTCAATCGTGCACTGAAACTTATCTTAGCTTTGTACCAGTGCGATTGCGTCACTCAGTTAAGGTCAAGCACAAATGGAGTGTGACTGTATGCCTGTGTCTGATCACTCCTGCCAGTGCATTCACACTTTTATGATGGGCTGCTCGCTCGCACAGAGTATGACTAAGACTCCGAAAGACTTATTAGGGACTGGCATAAAAGATGGAATCTTCTGTGCTTTAGTTCTGCTCTCTCTCTGTGCCTCGAATTCTCTCCGTCAGAAGTAGATGAAGTGAAGGTGTGTCACTTAGTGTCAGATAAAGGAGCACAGTGGTGTTTCTCTGCCTCACTTCCCCTGAGGCCTAGCCACACACACACACACACACACACACACACACACACAGCTGACAGATTGAGAGCAGTCATCAGGGGGCTGAACTTTTAAACTCACTCCAGAGAGGCACAGCTGTGAGTATGGCTGTCGTGAGATCATCTTTTTCCCCCCAACCACTCCAATTTGTAAATCTATTCATATTATTGTGGTCTTGCTGATATGCATCAATATATAAGGTGGACAAAGTTCTCTAGGTATGCTGATGACTGCATGAAATACCTGATAGGTCTTTGGTTCTAAATCGTTAATACACAACTTCACACAGAGGGTACTTATGTCGGAATTTAAGTCCTATGATCTAACGTAAGTCCATTTTCACCGAAGGTTGCAACTCACATGCCAGTACCCGTGTTACTCTGCTATGCTAACACAGCGGTAGCTTCGTAATCTACTTTGCCACCGGCAGCTTTTAAATAAAGCAGACAAAAACTGTAACATCCTGAAATAAAATATATAATTTATAACTGCGCAGCAGGACCAGGTGTAAGGAAGCTGCTATTTATTATCTGGTGAACCGCGGCGGTGAACTACTGTCATCTACCTGGAGAGAGCATCTGATGGTGTTCTGTGATGCAGTAATGATGACTAGACAGCAGTACTACAATGTCCGCGCTTCTCCCACAGCTGTAATATTTGGAATGAGTGAGTTTTCTCCCACTTCATAGTTTCTAACAAAAATGTGCTGCTAACAAGTATTCTGTGAGACCATCACGTTATGTAGGAACAGCAGTTTTTGTGATAACAAAAAAGAAATTTCGACAGACAATACCGACATCGTTCCCTTTCTTTCTCTTTCCCACATTACCTCACCCACTCCGTCTCCCCCATTTCCTTTGTTCTAACAGTAGAAAACTTGTTAGCGCCGGCTTCCTTCGCTTGCTTATCTCAAAAAAATGGAGCTTTCCTTGTACAACGCTAAGTCTGCGAAAACAACACAGCTAGTTCCGTGCAAATCTTATTTCAAAGGCGTTCGGCTGCTTCGTGCGGTTTTTGTTCTTCCATACAGGAAGGAAAGTGTTCCTGTTCCCTGTTGAAATGACAATAGCCTCAGTGTTTTGACTGACAGTCACATCATTTATTTCATGATACGAGTGCCTGTACCAAGGTTAGACTGGAGACTCTAGGTTTTTAATTAGCAAATGTTTTCTTTTTGAGGGCCGATGCATGGACCATCTCTTCTTCCAAAACACACGGCAACAATGTCACAGAAGAGCATCTGCGGAGACATTTTCCACTCCCGTCTCTGCTGTTTTGAAGTCCCTCAGCACTTTTCACTTGTGAGGGAGTTCACATTTTGAATATAAATGGCCCAATCGTTTTTTTCTCTCACTTAAATATACACAATGATTGGTTCTGCGAGCACAGCAAATCTTTTATTGATAGAAATGTCATACTTGTGGTTCTGAAACCTCACTACATTTATTCTGTGCTGCTGTTGCACTGATAAGTGCGGCTGCAGGGGGTTGCCTCCCACTCACAAACACACAGAAGCTGCTCTGAATTCAGTGTGGCATGCCTTGATGTGTTTGTTAGCTAAATGGTTGATTTGGCAGAGGTGCAGGGCTCCACTGCCTCTGCCCTCAATGAATAATGAATAAAGCTAATATTCCTTTTTGTGCTGGTGAACCGGTGGGTGGCTGATCTTTGGCCTCTGATGAGAGGCACACACACACACCTCCAAGTTTGATGAGGGTTGAACATGATTGTGTTAAGAGGCTGATGATCAAACCCTACGCCGTGAGTGTGTTGGTGTTGGAGAAAAAAGAAAAAGAAAACACTTATCATGGGAAAAACATAATCAGCTGTTTTGGTGTCTTCCTAAAAAGCTGATTGTTTTTTGTTTTTGTTTTTCATTATTAATTTTATTCCGTATGATGTAGAGTGCATCATTACCCTGGCCAGTCCTGGTATCTGGCACTATATTTCATTCAAATCCTCGTACGTCATACTTGAAAACATGCTGTGCTATGTTATGGCTTCCAGGTGTAAGTCAGAGTCTTCCAATGTTTTTATGTCCCAGATTATGGTGTTAGCACTGTTAGCACGTAGTATGTGAGTTCGGACTTACAGCAGAAATCGAGTTACGTTTTGTGGTAGAAACAGTATTCTGCTGTAAGTCGAGGAGCCCCTGTTCTCAGTATTACAAATCACAATACTGGTACTCGGATCAGTGTTTAACAAAAGCTAATGGGGCAGCTCTACTTTAAATAATTGAAAACCTAAGAATATATAAGAAGGTAACCATGGAAATCTGCCACGTGCACAAATGTTTTTACTAAAACTGCCAAAGGACTAAAAGCTCTGATTGTTTGACATAAACTTGATACCAGCAGCGGACTTCAGAAAAGAGACGCTGGCCGTGCCAAGGCTTCTCGTGCACCAGCATAACTTTGCAGACACTGACTTATGGCCTTGTATTTTCTTACTCTGTCTCATCTCTGGCACAAAGAGTCTGATGTCCATTATCCCCTAAAACTAACTAAATCTGCACAACAGAATGAATTTCACTCATACTTCAGTTTATATGAGCGAAGCTCTGGCCAAGCGTGCGTGACAAAAAGAAAATCTCATTTTGTTTCACTAGAGGACTGTGAGGAGCAACAATGTTGTGTGTGTGTAAAGCCCATGTGGTTCTATCAAACCCGTTTGTCGATAACATTGAGCAGCTTTTCTTCTCTTGACCCCCGTCACAGTGTTGTCATCTTCTTTGCTACCTTGTGTTCAAAAATGTTTTTCTCAACTCAATTTATTTCACCTGAAGAAGTTCTTGTAAATGATTGCTGAGAAGTTGTGAGTCACCAACAGTCCCTGCTGGGAGATTGAGGCTGATGCTTCTTTACATTCCAAATGTTGACACACACTTGAGTGAGAACTTCCATGAAATTCAATTTAATTTCCCATCTTACTTTGCCTCCGAAATGTGTACATGTACATTACATATTCAACTGTATTTTTTACATAGAAAATGTGACAAATCTTCCAAAGTAATATATAGAAATGTGTGGCAGTAAAATGTGACAAATCTTCCAAAGTAATAATTCATTCCGACCATTGAATTAATGATCAAGCTAAGAATTGGATCACAGAATGACTACTTTTTTTTTGTCCAGTGGAACTGCAGTTTAAGAATCGAGTTCACATTTCAGAATGGTTATGAATAAATGGAGCTTTAAAACACCTGTGAGTTAGTTTAAAATGTAGTTATTGACAAATGCATTGCTGAGAAAAGATGAAAGACAGTTAGCTATTGGACCCACTGGGGCAATATACAATTATAATCCATTATTCCTGACATTATGTTGTTCCCTCATTGATTGATACTGTTGTTTCTGTCGGCTCACTTGTTCGCTCCAGTCCAGCTGTTGTTGTTTTGAAGAAATATCTGAGGGTTCAGTGTAGAGCTGAGGCAGACTGACATGGTAACTGATCCGGGTCCGGATGTTTGGAGTCAACATACGTACAGTGTGTGCTGCTGGAATAAACAATACTTTTTTTTCTGTCCAGTTTGACTTTGCTGCTGTGTAAATTATTAACCATTAAAAGGCTTGACACAAGAGAAGAAAGAAAAAATTAATTTCATCACATGACGTGTGTCTCTGTGTTGATTAACACACATTTTATTTTGGAATAATCTTCCAGTTCATTATAACACAAAAATGTCACAAAAAGTATATGTAATGAAATATAATGATCTTCCAGTTTCAATTTACTTGCTCAGTATTCACTGATCGACTCGCAGGAATTTGTATTTATATCAGAAATAGTGATAAAAAATATAAACCATATTTTTATTATCACTCTGACTTTTTGTCTGCGTTCTCCTCTAGTCTCAGCCCATTCATCCATTTACATTCTCCACTCCTCCGACTCATCTCTGTGTCTCTGTGCATTTTAGGTCTGGTATCTGTCCGGCTGGGTGTGCTACCTCCAGCTGGAAAAGGCAAAGGAGCAACAGAAGAGAGAAGAAAGGGAAGTAACGGGGGAGGAGGCGGAGGAGTGGACGGCACTAAAGGAGGCTGCCAGGTCGTATCTGACCAATGCGAAGAAGGTAATTAAGCTAAAGAGACCTGAGAATATTCCTTTTCATTGCTATACTATTCCCTCAAGGAAAATGACTCTGTGCATTTAACCTCTCCGTGACACACTCCAGTGATTAACGCCGGACACACAGAAACATTTTGCTACACTTTTTAGTTTTCCCCAGGGAGCAGAGGACTTTGCTGCTTCTTCAGACCTGAGCAGTTCTGTCAGGGCAGGGAACTGAACCAGTACTTTACCGATTACATCCGTTAACCACAGGGCCACGGGTTGTTCATAACTCAGGATATCTGACTTTCAGTCATTTCAGTAGCTGATGATACCTGACAATACAGGACTTTAGAAGAGGTCGTTTGATTGAATTTGTTATTTTTTGCAATTTTTAGATTTTTTTTAAGATTTTTTTTTTTTTTCCAGTTATTTGTAGCTAAATCAACGGTTTCTTTTTTCTGCTAAACTCGGGGTCCTCAGTTTGTGGTTATGTCGCCCTATCACATTAATTTATTAAGAAAGTCCGTCATTCCGGTGTTTAAATGCATGGCTGTATATGCTGTCGTGGCGCTGATGATGTGGAGGATGGTCTTTTTTTTGTTTTTTACATTTGCTGGTTCTATGCCATATCTTGGATTTTGCTAAATTCACTTTCTTTCGTTTGTTTTGTTTTTGGGAACTTTTTGCTCTTCATAATGGCTTCCAGGCGATTTGGATGTGACCACCACGTTAGCATAGGTGATTTTGTGCAGTATGTGAGACCTCCTGTATTTAGATGGTGAGCTGTCCTGTGTCATGACCCTCCGCAGGGTTTTCTCTGAATTACAGTGATTTCTTTTTGATCACATCCCTGTTGGTGTTGACATTTCTCACGTGCAGCCCAGTAAAACACCAGTCAATATTAAGTTGAACTTCAACCTTAAGCATTAGATGCTGCATAAATATTAATGCGTTGGTGATTATATAAAGTGATAAAATATTAACACTGCAGGGTCAACTCTCTGCATTAAGTTCTTTTTCGCTTTGATCCTTCATCTCGTGTTTCCCAGAAGGCTTTTAATAAAATAAAATGAACCACTAATTTTGAAATAATGCCCACTGTTTGTCAGGTGTGTTGCATTTACCTTATTACATCACTGTCAAATGAAATTGAAATTGAAAACGTAATCCTTGCTGCTGTGAGGCCTGGAGGAGTTTACACAACTTGAAAAGACAGGTTCTTGGCAGGAAGCAGGTCAGAATAATCTTTTCAGGATCAGTTTCTGTTTAACTTTTTTTTTGGAATGTGGTCATTTTTTGAGGCTCTATGTGAAATGATTTATAAGACAAATCAACAATAAGCATGTGAAAAAAAACCTTGAAAGATCTTTTAATTAGCATTAGTTGCTAATGCTAGCCATTTTGTGCATTAACTGTTATATAACGTCTCTCCGTTTTGTGTGAATGACTTCAGGAGAAGAGAGACCTGCTCCACTTCAGGCCGCCACTGTGTTCTTCCGTAGTCTCATTTCTGGTCTCTTCTTTTCCCTGTAGATCTTCCACCTCAGCTACGACTCAGCTTTGTCTGCACGGCAAAACTAAAGAGATATTAAATATTAACTAGGAATCACATGTTCTTGTCCATCACGCACGTCCATATGCATAACGTGTAGTATAAAAATGACCTCGCCTCACCTCACTGTGAATCTACTATGATGTCAGAATTGGTGCTCATCCAACTCCTGCTCTGCTCCCACTGTTGTTCATTTTCAGTCCTGGTTTGATCCAGTCTAGTTCTCCCTTGTGTGTGCTCTCCGAGACTCAAGGTGTGGACAGTATGTTGAACTCAGGTGGCCTTTTCTTAATCACACCTCTGTAACTTATGGCTAACTAACTGCTGCCTTGGTCTCGCCCTCCAGCCTTGTCTTCCTTGCAGGGTGGATTCTAGCAAAACACCTTTAGCATCAGTGTGGCTCTGGTTAGGCTCATTTCACTGGCACTTAGTCATGACCTAACAAGGGAAGTTTGGGCAGATTTCATGATGTGTTTTTTATTATTGTTACTTATTTAAAGCATTCCTTTATTATTTTTTTTAATTTTTAACCTCCTACACATCATAATTTATCTGCTGGTTAAGTTCTAATATGAATTTCACAAAAACAAAAGTTAGATCAAAACATGTTGCAAAGAGAATCATTTTAACAGGTTTCAAATCAAATTTGGTTAAAAATTGTTGATTTAGAAATTCTTTTTAAGGTCGAAAACCTTGTCAAGTTCTAATGATGAAACTGGTCAAAGCTGTCGTAGCTGCTTCAGTCATTAAATTAGATACTTTTGAAATGATAACATCTGTCTCAGTACTTGTATATAGTCAGAACTCCTGTGATTTTACACTGATTTTAGTCTAAGCTGATTATCAGAGCTCTTGAGGTAATTTAAAAAGAAAGCTGCTCTGGTTTTCAATTTCAATTTTTCTCTCTCCTCTACAGCCTTTTTCTTTTTTTTTTACACCAAAATAGGCATTAAAAACCAGTCAACAGTGTTGGATCAACAGTCAAATCTTTTTAGCTCAGATCTCAGTGTATTAACTCAGTCATTTTCACTGCACATGACTTTAATCACACAAGACTGGCTTTACAAAACACACAGACACACACACACACACTCACACACTCACAGGACGTAGAGTCATGTGTCTCATTCATTTTGTCATTCTGTCAGGGAGTAATGCTGGAGCAGTGATTCATGTTGGTCTAAAATCCAATAGGCTTGTAAATCAGGCAGCACAGACTGAAGGATGACAGGTCCCACCTCTGATTTTACCACTAACTTCCTCCCTCTGCCTCTGCCTCTGCCTCTCCTTACAACGTGTTCCCCAGCAGATGAACAGGGACAGGACAGTAGCAGTATATTAATGCCTGCAGTGTTGACTGACAGTACGACAGACAAGTCACACCATCACTGTCTGAGGAATCACAACTTAGTCTGTCACAGTGACTGTTACAGAAATCACCAAAATAATGACGACGCTGCAGACGTGGCTAGAAAACCACTGTTGGCATGTAATTATATTCCTGGTATATTTCGCCAATATAACGCCACTCTGTTGCATATATTTTCAAAGTATATAGTATAATACTGCTGCTCTTGTAGTACTACTACTTCTGCTATTACTACTTATACTGTTTATGGCTGTTATTGTTATTATCACATTATTGGTTTATCTTGCTTTATATTTTATTTTTATTACATGCCATTTGATTACTATTATATTACTGTCAATGACTGACTGTTATACTATATATACTACTATATTTCTAACTCTGTCTTTTAGTGTTCTTTAATTCCAGTGCTCTGCAAAAGGTTTAAATATATATATCTTATTTTTCTTTCTAAATTAAATGTATTTAAATGTTAATCACTGGTTTGGTTGAGATTGTCGCAGTACTCTGGTATAAATGGTCTTCCTGTACAGATTATATGATCTGAGGGCTATATTTTTAAGACAAGAATCTCATGTTAGTCATTGTGTTTGGGATGGATGACAGTGTGAATACACTGTGTTTACTAACTAAAAGTTATTACTTAGAACTTTAATATCAGTTTTCTCACAAATATATTCACAATCCCGTCATAAACGTCCACCCACGGGATGGAAAGGTAATTGTAGGAAGTACCCAAAAAAAAAAAAAAGAAAAAGTTTATTCCACATTTTTATATGGGTTCTTAGCTTGGCAATTTTTGCTCTTTCATCCGTGTAAAGTCACTTTGTAGTTGGGATTCATCCAAGTTTATATGTGAGCTTTGTTCGTCTCTTGGAGTGTGAATTATTTATTAAGACTTAGTCTGAGAGTTAAAATGGGCTCCAACATGGAAATGAGGCCTCGGAGCCCAGCGGCTTGTCTTGGCGTGGGTCCACTTCTGTGCATAATTTATGACTTTGCTCCATTTGTGTGTGTCATGTGACGCTGTTATAAAAAGTATGTGGATGCACAGATTAAAAATTGGTTGTGTGTGGCAGTGATGAAGAGACCACCTTCATCGCTGTGCTCTCTCTCATCAGGAACACTGGCTCAGTCAGACTCCATGGTGGGAAGTGTAGAAATCTTATTTAATTTTGGGGGAGGTCCATACAGGGGACCACATTGGTCAGTGCTCTTGTCTTACAGTGAGAAGAATATTGTTTAGCTGGTTCAATTCCATGTCTTTTGACCTGAAGTTTCTAAAAACCTCTTGTATTAGGTACGGCTGTTAGGTTAGTGGGCACTCTAAATTGAACTTAAAAAGTCCAGGTAGAAAAGTCCAGGATGTACTCCCACCCTCACCCCTTAACTGCTGGGATCAACTCTGAAATGGACTGAGCTGTAGACGATGAATAACTACATTTAAATCTGCTCCCTTTGTTGACGTTAACTTCAAGTGCATCAAGTTTTTTTGTCAAAAGTGAATAGACCTTGCAACACAAAGTGAAAGTAATTCACCTTTTACTTGCAGAAAACACACACATAACCGTTGTGAAAACTGAACATTGGGGCCTTGATAGAAAAAACTATTTATTGATGTGAGTGGCTCTAGGCGCTTTCTTTTTTCCCCCTCCGTTCTCTGTTTGCAATACGTTGATAAATTATCAACTTAACCACTAGACATAATATCTTTATAAAATTGCCACTAACAATACTCTTTGTGGAAGGAAGATTTACATTAGAATACACTAAGCTGTTCAGGCACGAAGGGAAAAACAGTTCCGGTTGTGCATTAAACAAAAACTCTTAAAGTGACAGGAGAATCGTGTGTGTGTGTCTGTAGTTTCTCTATTGTCATTGTGATGACATCATTAAATGACTCAGCGACTCCACTTCGACTTTATAGTCACATTAGTGGATGTGAAAAGATGGAGGTCATTAACACCCTACTGAACACCACATATTCCCTTGAAGATTTTCAGCACAGCGTGTCCCAAACTTTAGGAACGCAGGTCAGAGACTCCTGATGAGACAGCAACTTTTGGCTCTCACCAATTTAATGGAATATTTTTATATG